TAACACAATGAGATAAGGAACCATTCACTCTTACATTCACTGTCCTATTTCACATAGTTTTTCCTTCCCCTGTGCTCTGCTTCACTAAATGATAATATATGAGAAACATTAGGTTATTTTATTCACATGTAAACACTAGCTTCTCATTTCTTTTACAGTTCCTCTCTTCCCCTGAGCTGGAAACTTTGTGGGTGGAGTCGGTCAAGGATTTGCCTCTAAAGCATGCTGGGAGAGAAAATAAAAAAGATTTTATTTTCTTAACTTTTTTCTGTTTTTACTTTGCTTCAATAAATAATTCCTCCTGTGAAGATGCTGCTTGATTTTTCTGTCTCCAATCATGTGTCATATAGATGTGTGCAACAGGTTTCCTTCTCACTAACCCACCAGCGGGGTCAAAAAAGAAAAGTATACCAAATGCCAGTGAGCAAGGTCAAAGGTCATTATTGTTTATGGGTGTAGCTCTGCTGGATGAAATAAACAGTACTGTTTATTTCCATGCTTGGTCTGCAGAGATGATGTTCAAGATATGTGCAGGTTTCTGGTAAACAGATGGCTGACATCTTGTTCCTATTTTAAAATATGTCTGTCTAATTGTTTCAGCCTCCCCTGTTTAGAATAGAGAGTAATTGAACACCATGAAGTGACCAAATCCACCTTTCCCTGAGCATCTTAAAATTACAGATGCAGCAGGCCACCGTTCACCCGTGCACCACAGGCCGCTTTATAGGACACGTGAGAACTATCAGGACCCCTTAGAGCTAAATCTCAGGAAGAGCTCAGGATGCTCGTGACGTTTCAGACATGTTATACTCCTCAAGCAAGCCTTTGAACAGAACATGTGAGACACAGATGGCTGTAATCTTTGGGTGGAATGGCAGACTGTGGGAAGAGGTTAATTTTAGCAGGAGAAGGCGGTGCAAGGGAGCCAAAATGTTCTTTCTTAAACACAGTTTCCTGATTGTTTGATTGTCATTCAAATAGATACTGCCTTAGAAAATTCAATACTATACAGTATAAACATGGAACATGAAGTGCCTCAAAAGATTTTGGTGTGACATTGCTTCTCTGTGGACTTACTATTTTGTTGCTCTTTTTGATCCTGTCTCCCACACTTATTATAATTGTAATTTCTTTTTCAGCCAGGGCCAGATCTAGCCTCTTATGTGTGGGCAGTTGAAAATGAGATGTGGGTAATTTGGATGAAAAAAAGAAAAAGAAAAACTGCTAATAACCTACGATTTATTGAATCACTGTTCAGCTGCTGGCATATCTGAAATGACTCTGCAAATGATCTCTAAAAAAAACAACAATAATAAACTACTAAACTAATTGCTAATCAATTAACAAACTAATCAAGAATATTCAGAGCTCAGAGAGATGGCAGTGGTGTTTCTCTTTTCCCTCACCACCAACCAGTCATGGCAGATGGCTGCCCTCCCCTGTCATTCCTTCCTGTTAAAGGGGATTTTTTTTTTTTCCTTCCTGCTGTCGTCAAGTGCTTGCTTATAGGGGTTGTCTGCCTGTTGGGGTCTTTACCATACAATATATGAATTAGCAGTATATAAATTGAATTGAATTGAATTGAATTGAATCGAATCAAATCTCTGATGATGTCAAGATTGTTTGCCAGTGGAAGGCTTGCTTTAGAGGTCTGCTCTCGGCTATTCACTTAATCAGAAATCAGACCTGGCATTTGTGTTTTCTGTGCTGCTTTTTCTACTAGCTAAACAAAATCCAAAATCATTTTTCTTATCTTTTGACTGGGTAGGCAGGATACTATGTTTGCATGAGCTCAGTCAGTCCAGAGCTATAACCAGCCTGGTTTCCAGCTGTAAACCATTCCACTCTTTCATGAAACCAAACATTCAGAAATGGAAAACACAACATTACATTTTGGACATCTTTTATTTTTAAATGGGCAGCACAAGAGTTACGTAGAAACAGGAAATATCCTGTTTCTACGTAACTCTCAGCAGTGTCCTTGTCCGGATTTCTTTTATTTATTTAACAAATTTGAAAAGATACAATAGAAGGCAGTATTTCATCAAGGATGTACAGTTTGTTTCTCAACATATCACAACATCAGAATGTCTCTTCATAACCCTGAAATGAATTGACCATGTTGGTTTAATCAATTGCAATTTTTCTTCAGTCTATGTATGAAGTCCTAATGGAGAATGCCTTTTATTAAAGCACTGCCATACAATTACAATCACAATATTTTAAAAACAGTTCAAAATTGAGGAAAGCAGACTGGTGCACACACCATTGAAACAAAAAAAATAACATCAAGCTGTCACCAAGAACTGGCTTTCTCCATATCTTTTTCATAAAATGAAATGTTATATTTTCAGTTTCTGTGAAGCCAAACACCAACAATTTTGGATTTTTTTTTTTTGTTACAGCATTAAAGAACTTTTAAAAAGGATGTCTGGTATAAGAAACACAGCTCTGGTGTACAACAATCAACATGCCCTCTGACTTGTTAACTAAACCATATTGTAAATATCAGATAATTTATCAGATTGTCTGGGTGATAAATGTTTGGTTCAGTATCAGGTCCAAATGTGATTCCTCCACTGTGACTTATGCATCTGAATCCCTCCTCCTCGATGTTGGCATCCTTCCATATGGTCATCCACTGCTGCTTATTCTGGTTCTCTGAATGTATTAAAGATCTGTTGTACAGAACCATCTGGATGGAAGCAAAATACATGGTTTGAGGCCGGCAGTCCTGGGAATGAGTTTCACCTTGGCTCACTCAGAGTGGAGCGGCCAGAGGACTTTGGTGATTTTGGATACTGAGTGTAATTACAGAGCAAATCGTGGAGAAGTCTGTGGAGTTTGTGCACTGAATGCAGTAATCAGTGCTCTGTTTAATTCTGTCCACTGTGAATGCAAACAATGTCCCTACATAATGTTTTTACTTGTTTATAAGAGATAAGACTTCTGTAATGGTAAGCACAAATACTCACAGGATACATCCATACTGAACCACAAATCCTGAAACTACCAGTGTTATGATGATCTTTTCAGTTGTGCTGTGCTTAGAATGTATCTTTATTCATAAGGTTTATGGGTAGGGGGGGCAAATAACAGGTATAAGATATAATTCCCTAAAAACATTATTCTACCAACCTAACTCACTAAATATCCTAAAATTACCCTACCCTATAAAAATAACACCAATCCGATACATTTGCAGTGGCACATACACAGCATTGTATAAAGATCATAAAGAGAGTTTTTGCAAGTTATGAAATGCCATACAGTGTTAATAACAACTGTTGTTTTAGAGTTTACTTGCGGTAAGCTGCAGAAAGCTTGCATTTCTTTCCCTTCATAAGTTGTTTAAATTTTTATACGTGTGAGAGGAATAGTAAAGTGAAATAAGCTCACAAAGTCTTTTGTTGATTTGATTGTGTGTATTTGTAATCAGATTTTCATCATTTGCAGGATCAAGAAAAGTGTCATAACAAGTGGCAATGTCATCTACGAAACATCAAAAATGCCACGTTGCTGTAATTGTGGACGAAAAGGACCAAAAGTGAAATCTAATCTAATGCTGCATCTAAACACTAACATCACTCGAAGAAAGATGAAGATGCTTGTTGCATGTCATGATATATTTTCTGTGTGTATAGAAATGTGGCAGCTATTCCTTTTTGTTTATGCTGAGGTAGTATTTTGCCTTTGGGGTGAGAGTGGATGTGGTTTAGACTTGGTGGCTTTCTTTTCTTTACTTAGGCCTTAATTACAAGCCAACCTAGGAAACTTTCATAGAGGAAATTGAGAAACACTGATTTGGGTTCAAGAAACATCATAAAAGAGCAAGGGCGATCACTGCAGTTACGTTATTTTGGAAATAAACATATTGCTATATTAATCTTTTGACGTTTTTTTCTCCGTTTTTCGCAGTAACATTTAGAATAAGATGAAAGAGACGGTCATGCTGTGAATTTAAATCGAATGAAAATGAGGAGGTGGAATATGCTGGTAGAAAGAAATCGAATTTGGGGGCGTTCCTCTTTCGCCTTAAAAGGGAGAACTGGACACTGTGTCAGATTATGGGAATTTCTCTTCCCGGAGATCTGGCCAGCAGGGGAGTAAACTTTTTCCTTTACTTTTTTCTTTCTTAAATCTTCCTCAGCTACTTAATGTGTTTTTGAGTGCAACCCACCTCATTCTGACCAGTTTCCTGTAAAGAACCTTCTAGTGAAAGGAGTGTTGCAGAGTGAACTGGCAACCGAACGTCCCGGGGCAGGTCCTGACATTGCGTCGCCAAGAGTCCGGAGGCTGAGGTTTGTGTGGACGTTTCTGGGAAAACCTCTAGAGCTCCGATTTGCCAAAGGGGAGACCTGAGAAGAGGCAGATTCGCTTTTCCTCTGCACAGTCTAAGCGCAGGTTTCCAGCTCAGACTAACTGTCTTCATTTTGAGGGATCTTCACTATTTCTGCAGCCAGAAGACTTATTGTTGTGGGAAATAAACAGAGCCCAAAAGAACTTTGACTAGTTAAAAAGTAATTAGGGCGTAAACAAATTTTGCATTTTGGAGATGTGACGTGGTCCTTAACTTTTCACTCTAGGACTCTAGCATTTTATTGAGTGTATCCCGCGGTGATAGATTTTTTTTCTGCGACACTTGTGGATGTTTGCAGGTTATAACTGCAATGATCGACGCTTCTGATCTTCTGTTCTGTGAGTTGGAAACGAAAGTGCTGCTGAGATGAAGTTTTAGATCTGTGCTCTGAACTCTTCTCGTGTTCGCATTGTTTGCCAGATTAAAGGCAGACAGCAACGTGGATTTCCTCAGTAGAAGTCATGCTCTGAAAGTGGTCATTGGCAGATTATGTGCCGATCCCGCGCGCGCTGCACTCTTCATCTGGAATTAATTGATTGTCACCCTCAGATGCGCTAAAGACGCACAGGTTCAAGGATCCACCACTGGATCTTTGCATTTACGGCAGTGAGTGTTTAGCCTACTTTAATTTCACACAACAATGAGGGGTTTTGTTCTCAGTTTAGCTTTGATATATCTGCTTACCTGGACCCAAGCCGACAAACAGACTCACCTCAAGCGGGTGCAACTGCGCCGACGCTTTCAGGGACGTTTGCGCCCTGGATATACTTCGCCAATCTCGGTGCACAGCAACAAGAACGCACAAAATGTGCAGGCAGACGAGGCGATTCCGCTTACCTCCAGGTCGGGGAACCTGGAGGGAGCCAAGAGAGCAGGAGGCCGGTTGCGAAGGATAGGGACGAATGGACAGATTGGCTTGTCCCGTCAACTGACAGATGAAGGTACTCCAGGAGCCAGAGCCAGAGTTACCCGCATGCCCAGCAGCGCCGGGTCACCAAATCTGCTGGCCAGCTTTGCAGGAAAAAACCGAGTCCTCGTTATCTCGGCGCCCCATGACTCAGACGGCTACTACCGACTGATGATGTCACTTCTGAAGCCAGATGTCTACTGCGAGCTGGCAGAAAGACACGTCCACCAAATAGTCATGTTTCATCAAGAAGGAGAGATGGGAGGCAAGGTCCGGAGAATCACAACAGAGGGGAAAGTGATGGAGGAGCCACTAGATACTGCACTCATCCCCAGACTAATGAGCTTCCTAAAACTAGAGAAAGGTAAGAAGGTAGACAGCATAAGCCTCTGTCTCAACTTGTGCATGGGTCAAAACGTCATTGCAAGTGCTGATATTAACCATATCATATGCTTAATCTATTAATGTGTTGAACTGCAGGCAAGTTTGGAATGGTGCTTCTGAAGAAAACCCTGCAGGTGGAAGAGAGATATCCCTACCCTGTGAGGCTGGAGGCCATGTATGAGGTCATTGACCAGTCACCCATGAGGAAGCTCGAGAAGCTTCGCCAGAAAGGCTTCATCCAGAAGTGTAAAGGAGCAGGTGTGGAGGGACAAGTGGAAGAAGGCACACTTGCAGGTGAGAATGACCATGATAAACATTTTTTTCAACATGTTTGTTTTCACAGCAGGGAAATCCACACTTTTTAGTTTTAAAACTTCTTAATTAACATTGAACCTTTCTAGAATATATCCATGGTGCAGTGATTACCACATGTGCCTTATAAACAAAAGATCTTTGGTTTGAGACTGGGAGAAGTTGCAAACAGACTTACAATCGTACAATCTTAGTGTCAGTCTGCAGCCTGGATAAGCTGGATGGTTACACCAGGAAGGGCAGCCATGAGATCAAGTTGACACTCAACCTTTCCTCAGGTTGGTTTTCACTTGCCCAGTCTTCATGTAAGTAATCTAGACCAGTTTGAATAATGTGAATAATGGCACTCGGGGTTTTCAGGGGGCTGGCAGCTAGATTTGTCAGCTGTTACAGTGTTCAGTGCCCTCCTATAAACTACAACAACTTCCTCACTGTAAAAACCTTTATGGTACTGTACTATGTAGAATATAGCTTTTACTAAGCAACACTGTCAGTAGTTCATTATAGTTTATTACTATCTCAGATTACTTCCTAAAAGATTCTGTGCCATTATAATGCATTGCCAGCTAAACCTTAACCCTACTATTAGTCACGCAGTCTCTTAAAAACACCTCATACAGAAACAACAAACAAATTCTAAACACCAAATAACTGAAAAACTCTCACAACACTGTTAAATCCAGGATTTAAACCAAAGAAGAACTTTTTTTTCCTCTTTGTAAAATTATGTTGTATCTTGCTGTTCATATTTTTTCATATTTTATATAATATTGTTTACAGTGTGAAGCTGTACTCAGAAACAAAGTTGAGTACAGTATATTACTGTACTAAAATTCCTGTAGTTTTACAAAGGTTTTTTTTAATAGTATACACTGATGACACATACCAATGCATAAATCGTCCATTAAATTGTTACATAAGTACAATGTAATATGTTACCTTTAATGGAATCTGCTCAAATTAAATTTACTTAAATAGTATATACAAAGCACATTTTCCTTAGGAATTTACTATTTCAATGAAAAGTTTGAATTTGAATTTAAATTAATCTTAAATTGTATTTATTTCAGTTGTGTTTTATTCAAAATTATTGCTTCATGTTTATTAGGGTGAATAATCTTTTTTTTTTTGAGTGTATGCAAAATGAAATGTTTACCTGTGATCTCTGTCTCCATCTTGCCAGTTCCTGACACACCTACAATAAAACTAAACTCAAATAGCAAAACAACCCGACCTACTACAACCACCACCAGAACAACAACTAAACAACCAACCACAACTACTACCACTACAACAACAACAACAACAACAGCAACCCAGCCCACGACCACCACTACGACTACTACAACAACCAGAGCAACAACAACTACAACGACAACCAGAAAACCAACCACCACAAAAAGGCCCACTACTACCACCACTAAGAAAACGACCAGAGCTCCTACCACAGCCCTGTGGCTCCCACTGCCAAGAACTACCGCTGATCCATACTACTACAACCACAGAGAGAGGGAACGGTACCCATTGAAAACCACCCCAGCTGGAGATAACCGCACTGACAAACTCAACAGAGATCCACACAGCCGCAAGCTACCCATCACACATAGACTCCCAAAGACCAAACCCACCAAGAAGAAGAACGGTGGAGACAAGGTAATCTGTAACATTCATTTTAAAGATAGATTTAATAGATTGACTTTGTATTTTAATGGGTTTCAGATTCATGCTATTTATAGAATACAAAACACCTGGGCATATATTAGTGCTAAAACCATACATTACATAAATTTGTAAATAATATCCATGAGTACATATGCAGCACACTTCTTGCTGATTACTTTAATTGCTTTTCATTGGAGCTTTTCGAATGAAATAGCTGTTTAGCAGCCAACATAACTCATTTCACCATCATTTTTTGTGTGTACAAAGAAAGGTTTACCACGACACCAGCTCAAGACCAAATCATTCTCACAGTGTTTGACTCAGTGAAGAAAATGACAAATAATATCTGCTTTTGTGCGCAGGTGTTGACTAACGAGTACGAAGACAAGTATGAGCCTAGCAAGCCAACAGCAAGCAATCCAGAGGAGCCAGAAGTTATCACTGTTATCACTCCTACCAGGAAGGGAAAGCACGATAAGCATGACAAGAAGAAGAAAAAGAATGACAAGGGTGCCAAGAAAGCCGACAGAAGAGGAAAGCCAGGGAAGGAGGGAAAGATCGGGGGAAAGAAAAATGGAAAGAAGGCGTCAAAGTACCCGGAGAAAGTGGACTATCCAAAGCCCACTAAAAAGCCAACGCCACCACCAAAGGGTGCCCTTGCCTCCTTTCTGGATTACTTTGAAAACAGGAGGCGGCTGCTGGTGAGAGCATGACATAATACTAACAGTTTATAAGAGGCTCTTTCACCTGGCAAAACTCCAGGTTTCGAGCTTTGGCCAGAGAGAAATGTCAGTACTCAGAGCACCATCGCTAAGTGTGGGAACAGGTTTAACATTTTGGCCAAAGTGCTTATTTGATTTCTTGCCAAAATACAGATGAATACAAATATCAGACTATGGGCATCTGGAACAGTTGCTTATTAGTCTATTATATTTCAAACACAGCCACTTCCTGATAAGCAGATAGCATGGACTTCTCTGCACCCAGCCAAAAATGGCTCCAACAGATGAAGCATGATGTGATTTAATTTCTGATTTAGCATTACCTCAGTAATTAATTGCTGTTGCCTCCTTTCTGTAATAATCTAAATATCTCCTCAGTAATTAACTGAGTTTTCTGTCAAATACAACTATCAGCCAGCTTTATGCTAAGCTAACTGGCCAATAGCTGTAACTTAATATATTTCCCAAACAAACTCGAGAATGGGATCAATCTCTTCATCCAACTTGCAGCAAGGAAGCAAATAAGCAAAATTCCCTAAAATCTCAAACAGTTTCTTTAAAGAAACACATCAGCACTACAGTAATGAATGCAGCTATAAGAGAAATTAAAAGACACAGCCATCAGTGATCGAACAGACGTGCCTGCCAAACTCATTAGTCAAACATGAAATTAGTGCTTTTTTTCTGGACTTCAAATTTTGATAGACTGGATAGGTTTTGAGTTGGGAGGTTGAGCATTACACCATTCTGAATCACTGAGCAGCTGGCAGTGTGGAGCAGAAGGAAGTGACCTACAGTTGGTGCGGCTCCAATAAGGAAAGACTTTGTTTTCCAAGACAGAGTACTGAAATGTTCTAAAGACTCACATCAGGACAAATAATTTATTGTTGATTGATTTTTCACTAGTCAACAAACAGGTAAGCACCTCTGTACCATTTATTGTACAGTGTCACTTCTTTATAGTGAAGTGGTAGGGTAGGTAGCACAACCATCATCCAGGTATTTGAAAGACTGCACAGCTGTGAGCTAACAGACTGTGCGGCTCTGTTTTGCAGCCAGTATAGATTCTTACCACAGTGGTGCTGTGAACAGGCTGGGAAAATATGCCCCATCGTCCGCCTGCAGGTTAATGTAAACATCACCTCTGCAGCGCACTGTATTTGCACGCGCATGTGTCACAGCATACACAGGATACTCTAACCTCCCTGTTTCCACTCCCTCCCTTCCTCCAGCTGATTACATCCCCCAGTGAGGAGATCAGTATGTATGTTCAGCAGAGGGATGAGTACCTGGAGTCTGTGTGTGAGATGGCCATCAGGAAAGTCTCTATCATAACTATTTTTGGCTCTTTGACCAACTCCACCATGAAAATCGACCACTATCAGATAGGTAAGTAGTTCCATATGCAGTATGAGAGGGTTCAATACGTTGTTGTTTTTTTTTGCTCCTTGTTTTGACATGGTATATGCCACAATCGCTATTAACTGTAGCAAGTCTTTCAGTTGCTCAGCCAGGCACCTTTTTTGAATAGCTCATGTGGCTCTCAATTTGGAGCAGATGTTTTCCGGACGTGCAGCATTTCTCAACTGCAACATTTTGAAACAATGAAACATTTTTGAAGTTTCCAGCACTGAAGATGGATTTCCCAAACAGCCCTTCCATGCAGCAAAACACTGCAGTTAACCAGCAAAAGACTGTAATTCTAAATCAAAGTCATGTTTCTGCTGTCAGTAAATCTTCCTTAGGATGACAGAGTCATCGTAGATCCGGCTAAATGCTTTTCCTGTCATTTTAAGAGCTGCCACTTTTCTGTTCTACTTTGTGAAGACACAGAATACTCACATGTAGTATGAGGAAAACAATATTAAACCAGTAACACAACAGTGGGAACTTCTGTGCACCACACAAAAACAAACAAACAAACAAACAAAAAAACAACATGTTAACTAGAAACACAGAACAACAAAGCAGTTAGTCCAGGTTTATTTTTTATTGCCCCGATCTACAACAACAGCCATCCCAAGTTGTTTTATATACTAAAGACCCTGCAATACAAGAGAGAACCCCAATGATCAGATACCCTGCAAGTAAACATTTGGTGAAAGTGGGAAGGAAGAACTTTTTAACAAGAAGAGATTTCTGACAGAACCACTTCAGGGTGAGACAGTTGGGCAAGTGAGGAGAAAGAGAGGAGAACAAGGCACAACCTGCTGGAAAGAGAAGACAAATAGTGAGCAGAGAAGCTGTTCAGTGCGATGCTCAGAGTGTTTTGCAAAGTCCCCCATCAGCCTGAGCCCACAGCAGCATGACTGAGGGATGATTCAGGGTTTCCCGATCTAGCCCTGACTGGAAGCAATATGAAAGAATGTAAGAAATATGATCTGTCTTTCTAGTCCCGTATTTCAGATCAGTAGAAGGTTTTGGGAGGCAAAGGTAATGTCATCTTAGATGAAGTTAGTGGGTTAGGCACTGTGTTTCTGAAACATCAACCCATTTTGTGTATTAGTATACTATTGTAACAAAACAATGATGGGAATCAGTGTCCAGCCACATGTTCTCACTGACCTCACCCTTAATCTCCTTCACAGTGAAACTCTCTCTTACACCGGAGGGTTGTTGATAACAATTGTGGTTATCACCAAAAAGGAAAGCATTTTCTCTCTACTTAGCACTGAAATAAACAGACTCAGGCATTCTGTCATAAATGTAAGTAAGTTTGTGTGTTTTTAGGAATACAGTAGACGTGATTTGCCTTAAAAAAAACATTTTTCAGGGAAATGTTGTTGTGCGAGTGCTGTCCATACTGAGACTGTGGCAAGGAAAAGTGTCTCCTGCCACATCTGCTGTCCTGTCCTTGTTTTACCTTCCTCACATTATGTAAAACTAGATGTGTTCAGCAGAGATCTCTGCTCCCACAGTGACATCCAGAATGCGCACCGACTCTGCCAAAGCCACAGTGTTTTGTGCTTCTCTGTGCAGGTGATACTAAACAGTGTTGACCTCTGAATTCAGTGATGTTAGATTCGGCTCATTTACCATAATACCGTTGCTTATTTTAGTAATTATACTTTATTTGTAGCTAGAGGTAGGAATGCCTTCAGCTTCCAATCCAAAATGTGATGAGTTCAGCAGCTATGAAGTACAGGAGTCTGTATAACATGTACCAGGAGAGCAAACCAGAGTGCATACCTTTCCTGTGCATCATCTCTTGCGGAGTTGATGTGTAAGCTGGAGACATTTAATTCATCACACCCACATGCACACAGAGAGCAGTTATAACAGTGCTTGAAAACCTACTTGTTCAAATGCAACAAAACTGCTGCTGTTTTTGTGAGACGCACTGCGTCATTTGTGCTTGGCTTCTATTTTGAGACATTTTATAGCCGTCTCAAACCAGAGGCTGCGGTTGATGTGTGTTAACTGCTCTTTGTTAAGCTTTTTAAGTGTGTCACTCAATGTGCAGATGAGGTTTTATCCAGATATAATGTTTTTATGTAGTCACATTGTTGTGACCCACCTCTGTTGGTAAGTCTTCATTCGCTTTAATTATGAAGGCTTGATTTAAGTTTAGGTTAAGGTAAGCAACAGTATGTAAATGAATCTCAAGAAAGTAAATGGAAGTTAACATAAGAGTCCTTGGAAGTGAGAGAAACACACTGTGTGTGATCATGTACAAACAGCTGGTCCTTTCAGCATTGCCCCTCCTCTGGTTACAGTGACTTCATCTTTGGGTTGTAGCCTGGTTGGCCACGTGTATGTTTTGCATATAGACCATATTAAAGAGTGTTTGCTGTACATATCTGTGTGTAGAGTCTGTCCTCTGCCACCTACATGTACTGGGGGTTTCCTGACGTGATTGCTCATACACATTACACAGCAGAGAGTGGGCAAACCAGCCACCAAGAACACACTGTTCCGTGGTCTGTATTTCATACACACACACCGAAGGAGCTATGATTAAAGGCTTTGGTCTGCATAAACACCAGCTCCATTAGACTTCTGAGACATCCAACCCTTTTAGATCTCAGCTGCTGTTTGTCCAGTTTGTCCCCGATTCATTCTGCATGCTTCAGTTCTGCTCTTCACTCAAGAGTCTAATTCTTAAACGTCTCAGACAAATTTATTAAAGGAGCAGTTTTTTGAAATCAGCATAGATAACTAAACTACAAGAGGAGTAAGCATGTTAACTGGGAAACAATTGCTCTTCATTTTACGTTAAGAAATACGACTGTAACATGTCTTAAGCAGTTTTTGTATCTGCCCTGTACTTTTCTAGCTGACTGGCAGTGAGGGGAGGGAGACATGACAGAAGAAAGATTAACCAATAGTGTGCAGTTTTCCTTCTTTCCCCAATTTTTCCAATCTGATATTCCGGGCAATATATTAGATTTAGATTAGATTATTTAGATCTAGTTAGATTAGATTTGACTTTTGGACCATTTCACTAAGATTCCAAATACAATAAATGTTATGTTCCTTTGATTTTAACAGTTAATTGATTTTCTTTAAAGGGGAAATTAGTACCCCCTTTAAAGTAGGAAAGTAGATATTGAATCTGTCTAATGTGCCTTTATTTCTCCAGAGAATGACAAGCCTATGAAGGGCCTTCGTCAAGAAGACCTGGTGAACCAGGATCTGATCACAGAGCTGAGGAAAGAGTTTGGCATGACCTACGAGGAGTTCCACATGGTCCTCACAGACACTGACATGAGAGTCAAGGTAGAGACTTACTCTTTCTAAGCAGTATAGTTGGATTATGTGAAGGCTGGGGCTCTATAGTGTAGTGGTTTGCACATTTGCCTAACAGTGAAAGATCCCTATTTAAGTACCAGGAGGAGGAAAAAAAAACCCTTGACAGCTGTGTCGGGAAGAGCATCAAATACGCCAAATTAAACATAAAAGTATACCTGTTGTAGTGACTTGTGAATAATTTAATTCAAGTTTAGGTAAATAGTGCCAGACCACAGTCACATCAAGGCATGTTATATTGATAATAAAGGTGCAGCCCCATAACAGAATGGCCGTGCTGTGTAGATCAATTAGCTTGTTGAATACTTAAATTAATGCGGTGTGAATTTGGAAAGCATGCAAGTCAAGCAGTTTTTTCACTCTAAAATGTAAAGATGTCCCCTAAATGAACCACACACACTCACGTCTTGATGCATTCTCAATCATCCAGGAGATGATTGGAGATTCACACACACATTTTTGTTTTGAAAAGAAGAGAGTTATAAACATATACTCACTGAATGTGACAGTGTCGAGGAAGAAGGTGGTGTGGTGAGCTTTTTTGAGAACTGTAGTTTCACGCTGTGATGAAATTCTTAAAAGTTACATGTTTTTTGGGCAGCTCTTATATTTCACACCAATTTCAAGACCTGTTGGAGGGACTTGGGAATGCATTACTGTCAATCAATATTAG